TCACCATAGTGTCTAGGCAACTCATAGGAGTGATCTTTCTTGTGAATAGGTCGTTTTCAGGACAAATAGGTCCTTGAAGTAGCAATCAAGAACAACTCGAACCCTTCTATGAAAGCGAAAATCCTGTTGTTCTTGGTAAGCATATAACACGAGTCCTAGTCGCTGCACTGCGAACATAGGTTGTGTTTGGTAAGCATATAAGCTAGCTTATAGCTTCTTATTTGATTAGCTTACAAGCTTCATGTATTCAACTAAACTTGGTTTGGTAGGACAAACTTTTTAAAAAGCTCGAGCTTAGCTTTTCAGATAAGCCCATCGGATTTTTTGTTTCAGCTAACCAAACACTTCTATCATATAAGCTATTAGCTATAAGCTCGAAATTCACTTAAAAGTTATAAGGTAGCTCATCAGCTAGTTTTAACAAACATAGCCTTACAGCAGATTCGGAGGTTTATCTATGCTTGTCAACTTTTGATATTGTCCTGTTAGTGGTGATATGCTATTTCTAGGTGATGGCCTTTTCTTGTGCTTCATGTATTAGACAAGTGATAGACAGTGTGTGAAATAACATCTTTCCGAAAATTAGTTATGATGGCAAAAATATATATATATCTTTATGCAGGAGGGTACTAGCGATCCTGTTCTTGAGCAGAAATATATGAGTTTGGAAGTGATTTCGTTTTCTGATTCAAAAGATGCGGTTGCAAAAGCAGCTAATTTTCTTTTGAAGAAGCGTTACTTGGATACTGACGAGACACCCGAGTTAACTGAACCTGACATGACAAATGCTCTCGAAGCATTAGGTATGTATTTTCTTGTCGAAAGTTGAATGAGTTCTTTACGAAACAGTGTATGTAAAGAATATGATAATAAAGTTCCTCTAGATTTAGGACATGTTAATCATCATTTTGGTGCAAATCAGGGTATGGGACTCTAGAGCCAGATCTCATGTTAATTTATGGGCCTGCGAGATGCCACCTAGGATTTCCAGCCTGGAGGAGTCGTTACACAGAGATGGTGTAAGTGTTGGCTATCGTACTTTACAATCAGCTTGTTTGCCAAAAACAACAATTATTTTTTCGAAATCACAATTACCCCCAAAAATGCTACAAATCATTCTTTGAGTTTTCATTTATTTATTTATTTATTTATTTATTTATTTATTTCCTTGAATAGAAAACCCCTATTTGCTGTGGATTCAGAGAATTACTGTATTATTTTGTGATTAACGCAGAGCAGTACCTATATCTCATTAACTGTTCATTTCGATAAATAAATTTGTA